GGATTCGGACCTGTTAGTATTTTAAATAAATGGGTCGGATATTGTACATATGATTCCGACCCGTTAAGGATCTGGACCCGTTTAAAATTTTTTATTTGTATACACATACACTAATACGTAAAGTTATTAGTTATAACACTTTAAATAAAATAGAAACTAATATACATATATACATAATAATACATAAAATTATTAGTTGTGAATTGTGATTATTCAATAAAAATATACACATTAATACATAAATACTATATAAGTGATACCGATCAAGATAGTAAGATACCCTAAAACTAATGCTCATTTTGGCCATAAATAAATACCGATAAAGTGTGTATTGGGCTTGGTAGGAAAAACACAATATTTATTACTATTATTATTAATATTATTATATCATTATCATATATAATACTCCCTCCGTCCCCCTGTTATTGTCCCATTGCGGTTTACGATGCTTGACCGACGATAAAGCAAATAGATCCCTGTCCGCACTCAAATCATTTTTAGAAAAAGAAAATTACATATTCAGAAACTACATTAAAAGATTTACAAAGTCGCAAAAACCAGAATCAAATTTGATAAAAATTTGATACATAAAGTAAGAGATTAAGAGTGATTTGTGTTGACCAAGTGAATAGGAAATGGGACAATAACAGGGGGACGGAGGGAGTACTACATATGATTGTATACTCTTAGTAGTCCAAGAGACCTTTTAATGACTTAATTTCTAGTTTATTCTACGAGCTTTTTGTGCGAGAGAAAGCGAAACAAAGTGTGGAGCTATACGCCTGTACAAGAACCGATATTTTATTAGATAAAAGTACTAATTTTCTATGAGAGAACTTGATTTTTTTTGAAAAGTGAAGATATATTTTGCTTTTAAATTTGTACACTTTATTTTATATTTCACATACATGTCTTGTTATTTTCACAAAGTTTATAATGGTGTGCGTATCATACTTGGCGGGCGGGTCTACCCGACCCGATTCCGAGACCCGTTGGGTCTAGGTCCGGGTTCAAATTTTCAGACCTGCCGGGTAAATGGATCGAGTACGGGTCCATTATTAATTTAGCGGGTCCGGGTCTGGAACACTACGTTCTGACCTGGACCCGACCCATTGACAGACCTACTTGTGCTGGCTGTTCAATGGCATAGGGACCAAGAAAAATGAAGGCAAAAAAATTAGCTACTCATATTAATAGGGATTACTATTTATAGCCTACTGCTATTTTTATGGGGCCGGTCCTCATATTAATAGGGATATAGAGGCAGGCTGGGCGTCTGCCCAAGGCCCACCAGCAAGAGGGACCCATAATTGTTTTTAGTAGTGAAGTAGTGTGTATATATAGAGTAGTCTTCTTGTCCAGCCGGTCAAACGGGGAACCGCCGTCTGGCCGAGGATGTTAGAAGCCCTTCTCATTAGAATTTTTTGATGAAATTTTGTAGACATGTTCTTCATTAAATTTAGTTTATCCATACCAAATTTCAGCTAAAAATTCATCCGGGAAGGTTGTTAAAACAATTATTTAAGAAAACTGTGCGCTTAAATATGTATAAACTGCGCAGTGGTTTTCAAAAACTTATTTGACTGCCTTCCCGATTGAATTTTTAGCTGAAATTTGGTATGGATGAGTTAGATTTAATGAAGAACATATATAAAAACATTTCAGCCAAAAATACCACCGGAAACCAACTCAAATTGAGGTGGCCGGACCACCCTCTTGTCCGGCTTGGCCGAACACGAATATTTGTGTGTGTGTGTGTAGTCCCGTTCATCTCAGACCTGCTTGATGGAGAGTTCTGTACGATCAAGCCCATTTGTGGTTCTTCCAGATGAAATTGTTTGATGAAAGTTTGTGAGCATGTTTTTCATTAGGCGTAGATTACACGCACAAAATGTAAGCTTAAAATTCAATTTGGAAGTGCGCTAAATAAATATTGAAAAACAGTCTTTATATATGTTTAAAAAGCACATGAAGTGTTTTTCAATAATTTATTTAACCAACTTTCCGATTGATTTTGAAACTAAAATTTTGTGTAAATAATCTAATCTTTACGAAAAACATTTTCACAAAACTTTATCAAAAAACTCGACATGAAAGCTCCTCAAATGGACTTGTCTTTACGGGACATCTTATCTGGCACGCTTGATCAGATCTTTTCCTTATACTCTAATACCCCGTAAAAGATATCCCTCAATCCTCATATCTAGCCACAAGAGCAGAGCTAAACACGAAACACGACTGAATGACTTTCTACCTTCGTAGCTCATAGAAGTCGAGAGTTAAAAATTGATAGTATTATTGACAATTTTACTTCTAAGAATGCCTAAAAAATTGTTTTGTACTCCGTAAGTCTTATGATACCGAATAGTTCAATGGACAAAAATGTTTACTTGTATAACAAATTTTATTTTTTGATAATGAAACTTTTACAATACATTCTTACAACATACAGAGTATATAATTAGGGGCCTATTTTTTAGATGTTCCACTAACTTTACTACTTTTCATTTTAAGTAAAGAATTTGTGGTTCCTGATAATTCATTCTCCTCTGCACAAATTAAAAGACGGAGGGAGTAGAAAGGAAAGACCTAATTTTTATTGTTGCAGAGAGAGTTCTCGTTTTTTTAGGATCGGTCGTGTGTATAATGATACCTAATATTTATTTGATGCATGAACGTTTTGTAATCCGTTCACGCCACTGCAAAAAAAATCGGATACACTACAAAGATGGGATACACTATTTCCGTATTAGTTCAATTGAGATGAGAAGGAAATCACGAAACATGTGAAGCAAATGAGGCCACGTTTTTGTATAGTGTGCAATCACACGAAAGTTGCACCTTTCACATTTTGACAACGAATCCGATTACAATATAATAATAATAAAATAATAACACGACCTGTCATCATAGGGTTTGTTTGTTGTTGTATAATTAATCCCTAATGCTTGACTCTGTCAAATTAATATTTTAATGGGAATGAGACAAATTTTAGACAGTTAAAAAGGAATACTAGTAGTTGATAACGTTTTAAAAAATTATTCAAAATGGGAATAAAAAGTGCATAAATATAAAATTAGGGCTACATTATTTTATTCCCAAATAAATCTTATTAAGAACTACGGAGTATTAAAACAATATAACCATAACATTCTCAAAATATAGGTGAATAAATAATGTTTTATGAAAGAAAATAATGAACTTCTATTGCCTATAGGAGAAACTATGTTTTTTTTAAATATTGAAGAAACTAGGATTGAGATTCTTTGACGTGCGGCAGAGGTGCCTTGTAGCATCGGGCGGACGAAAGAGGAAGCAAGCGCCTCGAGATGCGGTGCTTCAAGATCTGCGGCCGTTGGTTTGTTGATCAGACGGCTCCCTAAAATCGGACATCCTACCTTGTGGCAAAGCAAGGCAGAGGCTCCGGATCCGGAGAAACTATGTTACTCCGTGTGTTTTATTCATGAGAGAACTTTCTCCATATTTTTTGCGTTGGCATTTTGGCATCACTTATTCGACAGGTGGCTAAGTGGTTGTGGTTCCACAAAAAATTCTATGGAGTCCTGTATGATTCCATTGTGGAATCATATGGACTTAGGTGGCTTCATGATACTCACCATTTTATTAATGATTTAATAATTTTGTGACTCCATTATAAAAATAAGTGGCAATGATGAAGCCACTTAAGTCATATGACTTGATAGTGGAATCATATATGCCTCCATAAAATTACTCGTGGTTCTCTTGATATCCTAAACGAACACTTTAAATCTTCTGAAAGAATATATCAGTATATGTCTTGTAGGCCTTTTCATGTTCAATATCTCAACAATTAAACACTATATTGACATCTGGCCAACTCCTCCTATCTGGTTGATCTTTTAGTATGTAACCTCATATCTTAACATCATATATTTAGGTCGGTCAATGGAACGGGTTTGAACTCAAAGTCGGACCAGAATTGCCTTTTTGAATGACTATTTGTCTACATTTAAACCCCATTTGGTAACACTAAAATCAGATGAATCGAATGATTCTGCTGAAATTTATGAAGTCCTAGTTGAAGTGGTTGTATTAGCTGGTTTTGCTGATTTATGAAAAAATAATACTTAAAATATATTATATGAATAAAATTAAGAAAAAAATACCATAAAAGTTAAAATTCCAAACTTACATTTTCTTATTATTACGCAATTCAGCACGCGAAATCAAAAGTTTCATATTTGGTTAAATTATTGGTTGATAAGCTGAAAGCCAGACTCACCAAACAACCTCTTAATTTATCTACCTAGACCTGAACCTATGATGTGTTTATTTTGATAAATGGATCAAGTATGATACATATTGATCTCACTCATTAAAGACCTGTCTCATTTATAAATCACCACTTTCTCTCTCTAAATGAATTATAAAGTCAACTTTTATTGATTAACACATTTTCACTTTATTTATTTATTTAACATATCAATTTTTTATTATTATATTCTAATAGGGATTTTGCAACTTTTTAAAACTTTCAATGTAATTTTCGAATATGTAGATTAAATTATTAAAACTGATTTGGTTATCAACACGAATGATTTATCTTTATTGTCGGTTACCATTAAAATAGTAAATTACAATTCAATTCAAGATGGAAAAAGTATTTTTTAAAAACTATACATGCATAGGTACACAAAGCAAACATACCTATCCACACGGGCAGCTAAGTTGGTTAAATGGTGGGAAATTTGGATCAAGGAACCAATGTTCGAATCCCACAATGACCGTGTGGAGGTTACAGCATCTGAAATGGGCCAGAACTCTAGCGCGTACAGGTATATGGGCCTACTGCCATTTCGCTGACTAAGTCACCGTGATTTACATCCTCCCACGTGCCCAATCAGGTAGGGGAATGGGGGGCTCCGGGGGTGGGAGATTCCACCTTTTGGATAAAAGCAAACGTACCAAGACACCCAAACATGTGAGAATAATAAACAAGCTTAACCAGACTGGTAGCCCTGAGAGTATATTTATAGGTAATAAGTGTCCAAGTACAATAAGGAAACTGACTAATAATTAATTCTAATTATTTCACTATTACACCCCCTCAATCTATGCAGAAGGAACTACGCGTAGATTGTCTCGTAAAAATAAAAACTGCTGAGGAGCCAAACTCTTGTTGAAGATGTCAAGCAGCTGAAACTGTTGGATGTGTTTCGAAAAAACGAAGAACTATTAATTAATAAAAATAATTAATTAATTAATAAAATAGCTAAAGAAAATCGTGACTTATCATATTTTTGTCCAAAAATATAAGTAGTCATATTTTTGTTCAAAAAATATAACTACTCATATCTATATCCTGAAAAACTCTGTTAGTATACTTAGTAATAGAGGTTGTGAATAAAATTATTCTTTCAATATTTACTGTTGGAAAGCTTAAGCTTTTTACTGAGTGTGTGTTTTGTTTAACCCAAATCGAAATAAATCGACCAAAAGCCCACCTCTGTGGAGGGGCAGCCAAAAGATTACAGAAAAATGGGCCTGAATGGCAAAACCTAATTTATAAAAAAACGTATCGTCTTCAATCTCGAGCTCTCTTCCTCAAGCCATTTTACTCGTTAAACCTAGCCTCGCTGCCTGATTCTCTCTGTGCACGCAGCAATGCCGCCGAAGTTCGACCCCTCTCAAGTCGTCGAGGTATTCGTCCGTGTTACCGGCGGTGAGGTCGGAGCCGCCAGTTCCCTCGCCCCTAAGATCGGTCCCCTCGGTCTCTCCCCTAAGAAGATCGGCGAGGACATTGCCAAGGAGACATCGAAGGACTGGAAGGGCCTACGAGTCACCGTCAAACTCACCGTTCAGAACCGTCAAGCGAAGGTATCAGTCGTTCCTTCCGCCGCCGCTCTGGTCATCAAGGCCCTGAAGGAGCCAGAGCGCGACCGTAAGAAGGTCAAAAATATAAAGCACTCCGGAAACATCTCCCTCGACGATGTGATCGAGATCGCGAAGATCATGAGGCCACGGTCCATGGCGAAGGACTTGAGCGGCACCGTAAAGGAGATTCTCGGGACGTGTGTGTCGGTTGGGTGCACAGTGGATGGAAAGGATCCAAAAGATTTGCAGCAAGAGGTTTCCGATGGAGAGGTAGACATTCCTTTGGACTGAAATGCTGTTTAGATCTCAGGAGATAAAATGTCTCTGTTTATTTTTTTCTTCATTCCTTGTAAGAGTTTTGGCTGAGAAAATGTGGTTTTCTTCTTTCAGACTTTAGCAGCAGCTTCTCCTATGCTCCCCTATTGGAGTATTGTTTGATGGTTGTTAACAACTGATGATACAATTTCTTGAATGGAAAACTGTTTTCTCAGATCATTTAGTTTTCATTTCATAAAGCAATCAATCATACCCCTACCCTATTGTTACTACATTGGGATAAAAAGTTGCAAGAGCATAGAAAATGATGAGATGAATACAATTGTGGGAAAAAGTTACAAGTGCTTAGAAATCTTGGATGGTGAATGTATTTTATTTCCTTGGAAAAAAGGTCAAATAAGCTCGTATACCGGCTCAGAATCATCATTTAAGTCCATGTATTTAAAGTGTCACATACATCTATTTACTTATAAAAATGAGTCATTTAAACGACTTGAAGATGACCTGATTTAGCAGGTAAAATCACATGTGGCATTTTAAATAACACCAAGTCATCTCGTTTTTCCAGGTGGCTTTTCCCCCTATTAATCGCACATTATATTCAATCTATAAGCCATAACCATCATTCATTTTCGTCCATTTCCCCCTTAACATCACGTTGGATTTGGTCAGCAAGCTAGGTTGCTCACTCTGTTTTCTTCTTCTTTTTATAGATATATTTTTATGGACAAAGGAGTTGTAAGATTAAAAATTAGAAATATGGCTAAATAGGATTAAAACTATGACGAAAATTCAAAATAGGATTTTCTATGTTTTTTTTTTCAAAATAGAACTATATTAGTCGTATTGGAAACATACCTATTTTTTTCATTTCATTCTTACCGTTCCTTTAAATATGAGTTAAATAGTCAAAAGTCATAATTAAATGTTTAATTCATACTAAATTCGAAAAAAATTCAAATATTCGCAGAAAAATAATTAAAAAATTATAAAATATTCATAAAATAAAAAATCAAAATTATTTGATTTTTAAATTAATAAAAAATAGTAAAACTCCATTAAAAAAATTAAAAAAATATGGATGCCTTTCTCACTGTCTGTACTACTAACCTGCACCATCACCTCTGGCTGGTGAAAAAATGCTATTTTCCCTGAATTTGGCATTTTTTCCCCTGGTGACTAGAGGAGGTGGTGCTGAGGCAGCAGAGGCGGCGGTGGTTTTCTTTTTGAGTTTTTTTTTAATTTGTTTTAATTTTTTTTTGAAAAAAAATTATTATTATGAAATATTTTTATTAATTTTTTAGTATTTTTTACGAATTTTTTATTATTTTTTATTATTTTATTATGAATTATGAATTAAAACATTTAAATAGTATATTTGTCCAAGACAATCATAATTAGCAAAGTATATTTAAATGAAAACATAGTTTATTTTTTGGCTTTATTTGAGCAAAGTGAATGACTTTTAGTCCTATTTTGATAATTAACTCATTAAAAATTTAAAATTTAAATGAAGAAAATAAATGGGCAAATTCTGGAAATTCACCGGCTACCTCATAGCTTCTTGTCTTTGAGCTTTCATTCCTTAATCCATGGGGTGATCTTATAGTTACTATGGGGGTGGGGATGATGGGTCGTTCAAAGAGTGCCATATTAGATTAGGGAGCTAAAAGCCCCTGTTTTGCCGTTAGACCACTGCCTTTATCTCCGGTTGAGCTATGAACACTTCAGGCCACCATTTTTGTCCACCATGAATTCCGGCCAAGTGACCTACCATGGATTCCGACCTGAATACCTACTGTTAGCTTACACCTTCTCTTGAGGAGTCTGTAATTTATTGTGATTTGTGACCAACTAAGATATGTGGAAGAAACACCACAAGCATATGTGAAAAAACGTTATCTCTTTTGGCTGAGCATATGCGTTTGCTGAAAGACATGAAATTAAGGTAAAGAAAATCTGGGAAAAAACGTCGGATGATGGAAGGTAGACAAAACGGTGCACCAAAAAAGAAGAACGAGACAAGAAAAGACAAAATGAAAAGAAAAGAAAAGAAAAATAACAGTGTAAAGAAATACTCCCTCCGTCCCGTTGGAATGTTCCCGGTTTGACCTACATACATATTAAGGAAATAAATTTACCAGGGAGTAAATTTTACTGTTTTGACACTGTTTCGACACTGTTTGGCATTGTTTCGACACTGTTTTGCACTGTTTGACCTTGTTTTGATGTAGGATAACTTTACATTTAGGGAAATGGGAACTTTCCAACGGGACATACAAAAAAGGAAAGCGGGAACATTCCAACGGGACGGAGGGAGTATAAGGTAAATGCCACATAAGCAAAAGAACTGCTACAACCGGTCACCTCCCGGTCATATGGGTTTAAATGACTCATTTTTATGAGTAAATAGATGTATGAGTGAATAGATGTATGTGACACACGTTCATTTAATAGAAATTGCTCTAAATAGGAGCAAAAACGTTTTGAAATTTTAAAATAGGAGTATCATGTTATTTATTCACTGAATAGGAGTAATCTGCCAAATTTGGAAAAAAATGTCATGTTTTAAAGCCTAAAAATGCCAAACTTGGCAGAAATTTACTCTTATTGAAGGAATAAAAAACATCATACTTCTATTTTGAAATTTTAATTTTTTTTTTTACTTTTTAAACATACACAAAACGATCCTGAAACTAGACTAGGTATATTGGTTGTGGTTACGTTTCTAACCATCTCATATTCTCATGACCTAGAATGGATCAATCGGCCACACGTGAAGTAGAATCCCAGCGGATTCACCCAAATACATGCTACTCGTATTTCAGTATTTTGCAATCAATCTGCTGAAATGAGTGTCATTTCAAATTACTAACATTGAGATAAATATGAGGTTGACATTAATCAGACTTTTTCTTATAAAGACTTCAATTAATCAGACTTTTTTTTGAATAAAAAACGACAAATTATATTAAGCAATCAATGATTTGCGGTTACAACCAGCAAAAAAGTTGAAAATTCACCCACTATCTTCTAGCAGACTCCATTCAAATTTAAGAAAATTCCTACGATCAGACTTTGAGACGGTCATCTTTTAAGAAGCAACGTGAATTTCTGACCACCAAACTGACATCATAGAGTTCATCCAAATCCTTAGGTCACCGTACATTTTACAACTTCAACAAGCTCAAAATAGCCAAAAAGTCCCTCTATCCCCCTACTGTTGCCATTGCCGTTAGATTGTGTAAGGCATCGTTACCGTGCGACAGAGGATCCAAACCCGGTGCTGAGGCAGTGATGAGTGGCGATGAATGCGATGTAGAGAAGATAATGAGTGTTAGGTTTATTTAGAGCCCGTTTGGTAACACTAAAATTAACTGAATTGTCAGATTCTGCTGAAATTTATGAAGTTCTGGCTGAAGTGGCTGTATTGGCTGATTCATGAAAAAATTATATTTAAAATATTCGTAATTAATAAATTAAATAAAAAATTATATGAAAAATAGCTAAAATGATCCTCTACAGTAATTTCATCCAATACAGCCAGAAAAGTAACTCAACCTTACTTTTTCTCCTTATAGCAAAATTCAGCGCACGAAATCAAAAGTTACGTGTTTGATGAAAAATCTGGCTGATAAGTTTGATAAAACGAAAAAAGGGGTTACCAAAGGGGCTCTTAAATAATATTTTTTCCGTTCTTTATTAACGGTCTCACATTCCTTTTTGGGACATTTTTAATTATTTGTCTCTCTTTCTATTTTAGGAAAGTTTTTGATAAAATACCCTCACTTTTATTACTTTTAACCTTCTTACTTTTACAAACTATTTTCTCTTTCCTACTTTATCATCACTTTACTTTTTTTAATATACTCTCTTTCCGATTTTATCATTTACCCTACACACTCTACATTTACCCTACTATTTTTCTATTAAAACTCGTGCCTAAGGCTAGCGCGAAAGATAATAAAGAACGGGTGGAGTAATATACTCTGTAGTTCCGTATGCGTCTCATAACTTAGAGATAGAAGTCTATTACTACCTTTGTCCCTTAAAACTTTGTCAAAGTTGACCGGCACAGAAAATATTAAAGTAAAAACTGTGTGGTTGATGTAATGATGTTTGTGTAGAGGAGAGAGATAAGAGAAATCACAAAATAATTGATTAAAAGGAAAATTGGCAAAATTTTTTGGGATGTCCCAAAAACGAAAGATAACAAAATTTTAAGGGATAGAGGTGTAATTGATTGGACATTTAAGTTTGTTATTTGCCCCCTCCATATTTTCTGGAAAATACATGCAAAAGAAGTCATGAATGATTATTCAAGAATACTCCTCCGGATGAAAGGATGAGTCTATTCTTCATTAATACTAGCACAGTACCCGTGCATACGCACGGGAAAACGGTTGATCTACATATACTTTTATTCATGATCTAATTAAATATAAAAATATGTTTTTTTTCTTACAATTTACTTCATTTCAAAAATGGAGTATGATAAGTGAATATAAAAAAGCACAAATCCATACAACAAATATTTAAAGTAAAAGAAAATTAAAATATAACGAAAACGACATCATCCATTAAAATTTACTACGTGATAATAATTAGTGATGTTGGTAACAGAGTGAAATATTGAACTTAATCGTTAGAGTTTTGAAAAACTACCTTAAGAGAACTTATAGTAGTAATGACTTGTGATTTTCTTTTCTTATCATGTACCTTGTATTAAAACCATTAATACATGTCTTCTGAACTCTCTCTATAACGCCACATATAAATTTTACATGAGTAAAATACGTCTAAGTAGGAATATTTTATCTTTTTGCAGTGGTAGAGCTCGATACTTTATTGATTGTCATAACATTGGTGATAATTATAGAAAAATATCTTCTCATAAGTTTAAAAGGTCATGAGAGAAAAAATACGAGATAAAATTCTCTCGATCAATTATTATTTTGTTTATCTTGTCTTATTATTATACCTAAAACCATTACATATGAGATAGAAAATTTTCCCGCTCAATTGTTTTAGCCGGCTTATCTTATAATTAAAAAAACACTATGTATGAGAGAGAAAATTCATCCGCTCAATTTTTAGCCGGCTTATGAGCTTATCTTATAATCAAAATCACTTCTACGTATGAGAGAGAAAATTCTCCCGCTCAATTGTTTTAGCCGAATTATCTCATACCTAATATAAAAGCACTACGTATGAGAGAAACATCTCTCGTTGAATTGTTAGCCTTCTTATCTTATCTTATACCTAAAAGTAAAACATATGAGATTGAAAATTC